GAGAGTCTCCAGTGTAATGGAGGGTTTGTAGCATCTGCCATGTGAGGAGAGGCTGACAAAGCTGGGGTTGTTCAGTATGGAGCTCAGGGGAACTTAGCAATGTGTGCAAATATCTGATGGTGGGGAGGCTTAAAGAAGATGGAATCAGGCTCCTATCAGAGTTGTCCAGGCAAGAAACATACTGAAATTCAATACATTTCATTTTAACATAGTAAAAAACACTTTTTTATGGTGTGATCGAGCACTGGCCCAGAAATGGTGACTTGAAAAGAAAAACAAATAATTTGCAATACATTTGCAGTTTATGGTGATCTGCCACCCATGCAACTCCAGGCTAGTGCTCCCAGCATTTAACAAAAGGCATCTGTGCCAGTTTCCCTTCCTTCATGCTACTCCTTAGACCCCAGAGTTCTGCTATTTTTCCCTGTCCTCCTCAGCATCTAATGAGCAAAGAGGCCCTCAAAACAGATGTCAAAGAGCCTGGTGCTGCCTGTTGTCCCCCATGTGCTGTGACCACTGTCCCTGTCTCCCAATGCAACAAAAACTCATCTGCCCAACAACTGGGGGAGCCCTGCACTTCAGGACTGACCCTTGGCATTGGCACTGAAGGTGTTGAAGGTTGGATTCTGCCACGAACTGGATGCTGAGGGTGTCGTCTGCACATGAAAAAGGAGAGCTGGACCGCAGCAGTGCATCACTACAAGGAAACTTCAGGGTCAGACAGAAGAGAGAGGGGTCACTATTGAAGCAAGGAAAGGCAGCTCCCAGGCGCTGGAGAAGTGCTGTAATGTCATTGAACACCGGGGGGCAACCAAGCACCCGGCCTTCGGGAAGGAAGCGCTCGCTCCTTGGGAGGACAGCAGCCCCGTTCTCGCTCCTCCTCGAAGCCTTTGATAAGCACCCTTTCAAAAAGCGGTGCATTTTTTTTTACCAAAGGTCACAGATCTCTGTCCTTGAAAATAGCAGGCAGGATCTGCATATTGCAGTCTCCCGTGCAATCCACAGTGAAAAGCACGGAATTTTTATTTTACTTTTTTTTTTTTTTTTTTTTCCCACAACTGCTGGTACTGACCTGGAACAACACAGGGCAATACTCCATGGTTTGATGTCTCTGCATGATGTGAAGTCATTAGTTTCAATACACAGATAAAATATTAATACATGGGGTGGTAAAAAGTTAATTTCCAAGAAGAAACTTTATAAAATTCAACTGATTAACACACATGGCATACCTAAAGGAACAACGTATGAAGCTGAATAAAACATTGAAGGCACCAGAATTACAAATGACTGGTCCAGGCTTTTCACAGTTTAGTCTTGGAAAAGGGCCCCTAACACTTCCTGACTAAATAAACAAAGAAAGAGCAGTGAGAAAATGAGAAAGAAGTGATGGAAACTTGTAGGGTAAAGTTTTATTTTATAGATATCTTTTTATATATTTATCATGGAAAAAAAAAAAAAAAAAAAAAAGGTGAAAACCCTTTTCTTCCCTGAAACAATCCCTCTACAGTTAAGAAATATCAAATGTCATCATTGCCACATCTCTGACTTCTCCCTATCTTTTGATGTGCTGCAGGGCCTGGTACCAGTTCATGGTACTCACACCATCTGTGAGTTCTGCCAAGGCAAAGACATTCGTGATTCACCTCGACTTGTTTATCAGCAAGAAAAGTTTCTCCCATCAAACATGTGAGTTGCTTGTTTTCAAGGTAGTGAAAAGAAACTTAATGAGATCTTGTGAAAGATTGAATTACCATGGGAAAAAAGCCCCAAATATGACTTTACCAATATGGCAGGCCCTCTAAACAGGAGAAGAAAAACTTCCTTGGAGCGTTTTCTTGCGTGACATGCCTGCTTGTTAAATGCAAAGAGTGGCAGGCCTTTGTGTCAGAAAGACAAAGTGCCAGGAAGAAGAGGTGATGGACTTGTTCCCTGCCTTGGTTCCATTCAGCCATAACTAGTTCTGTTAAACTGGGAGGGAGGAGGGGTTGGTTAACTCAAGATATCTCATCTTCGTGTAAATATATCATTTGCGTAAACGTGATATATAGATCTTTATTTACTTGATTTATGTATCTGGAAATAACAAGAGGTAAAAAATATCAGAAATATCATAGCTAGGGTACTCCTAACTTTGAACCTCATATCTTTGCAAGAAAAGTTAATATTAAGTACAATAACTGACCACATTGATAACTCAAATTCTGAACTCATGTAAAAGGACAGAAAATGTGGGACTTGTTAAATTAGTAAAGTTTCTTCAATACATTTTTAACATTTTAGCATTTGTATTGCTGAAAGAAATATTTATTTTATCCTTTCTAGTGAATTAGTAACATTTTTATTTTTTTAAAGTAACACCTGAAATGCATTTTCAGCCTTCAGAATGAGCACCATCACACTTCTGTTTTAAACATTCTTTTTCCAATTGTACGTATTTTATTTGCCTGCTTCCTATTTTTGATGAAGACCCATTAAGAGAGACATTACTCTGAGGTCTAAGAAAAAAATATAGGATGTTTTTTATAGAGAGATTTCCCGAGACAAGTTGATTCTATTGTGTTCTGTGTTCTGTAGCACGTGATGAATTTTAAAAGGAAATATCAGAGAAAGATGCTAATGTGAGCTCCTGGAATCACTGAATACATTTATAGAAAAAAACAACAACAAACAAACAAACAAACAAACCAACAAAAAACCCTTGATCTACATGACCATCACATCTCTCTGTGGGTTCACAGCTGATACACTGCTACAGATCTACAGTCATTCTGTGGGTGGTTCAGTGCCAGTTTTCTCTTTATATAACAGAGCAGAGATAGCACTGACCGTTCAAATTTGAATGTTCTGATGGCATTAAACCTCAAAGAAAATATTGACAAAGATATAGGTAAACATTGCAAAGTTCCTTTCCCAGACTCACACTGAATCTGAGCCTTATGTCCTCAGCTCCCAGAGCAAGGGTTTACATGGTACTTCAGATCCTGCAGTCCTATAAAACCAGATCATCTCCTCCTTTCTCTATTCTTATGGCTTCACAGAAGCTTTGCTCTTCCCTTAAATTTTTTTCTTCCCAGGAGATACTGAGCTAATGGAAGTTAGTGAGTTAGTGAGCAAATTGAGAAGACAATCAACCATAATTTTCTGGCCTTCTCCTGTTTCTCCTGGTTGAGACCCTTGTGCTCCAAGCACATCTCAGCACCTACAAAATGTTTCAAGCAGTGTCTGGGGGCTCAGGCTTCCAAGGTTTTCTCTCCCATGGGTGCGCCATGAGCAGGATTTGTGAAGACCCACAAAATGAAAGAAATCATAAAACATGGCTTTTTCATAAGGCAAAATGAGGGAGGTGTGGAGGTCTGCCATGCACTGAGCTGTGTTTTGGGCCTGCAGTGGAGACACAATGATCAACTGGAAAAGGTAGCTGAGGTTGCCATGGGATTGTTATAAATATTAAGATTTTGCATAAGGGAAATTGTTTTTCTTTATAATAAATTATTCTGCTCTTGAAAAAAGGATTAAGTTGGTTAATCTCTGCAGAGGCACCTTATGCTCAAGCCTAACCATTTATACGTAGTGTTGGCAGTTTCTATCATGCAGAGCTTCTAAGAGCTGATAAACTCAACAGTGCATTTGACTGAACAGTGCTGATTATACATGTGCAAAGTTAGAAAAAAAAAAATCCAAAACCAAACACCATACCTGGCAACAGTGTCTCTGTGTCACTGTTAATTAGCAGGACTGCATTAGCAGATGGCTTCTTGTGGCTTATCATACAACACAGCAAATGGATATGACAGTTTTCAGAACAGAGGAAGCACAGAATAAATATAGTATATCACTTTCACAAACACAGGATTTTCAAAATTCTGGCAATACAAAAATAAGAATGAAGCTTCATATGCCATTAAATACAAATAACTGGACTTAAGTATTTACTGTACAATAATTCCTGATAATGTTTTGCAGAACTGAATTTATTTACAATATTCTGTAAAGAGCAAAAACCATTTCACTCAAAGGTAGATGCACGAACGAAAATAGAGGAAAGAGATGCTACTTTAAGGTAAATACTTATATCCAATGTCAAGATTTAAGTGGCTTACGACCATTCATAAAATTCTTATTTTGGCCAAATATTTTTGCAATTACAGCAGCAAAGTGAAGAGGTGGTTTTTTAAGACGGAAGAAGTGGCAGCTGTTTCCCATAGATGGACTGTTTAGGTGCCTACACATGGATTTGCAGAGCAGCCTTAGGCAGAATTTCATTACAAGCTCAGTCAGTACTTTCATTGCATTTATACAGAAGCAGTAGGATACAGTATAAAATAATTACTTTACAGTTACGATTTTAAACAATAGGCTTGAATCTTTTTTTCTATTCTAATAGGTTTTCACACACAAATATGCTTTTGACAGTAGCTGAGAATTAATTGATCCCCTTTAACAGAGCATGCCCACAAGGGCTACTCCTAATCACGACACAATTGCACCCTGCCTGGCCTCAGACACCTGTTAGATCTTCTGCAGATTTTGACTACTAGAGGCAATAGGTCCAGACTTAAGATACTTGAAAGACAAGGTAAGTAGCAATTTTCTTCCTAACTCTATCCATTTTTATTTTTTTACTCCTTCAGTTTATCATATACTTCTTCTATTAAATTCCATACATTGGTCATGAGGAGTTTCTTAATGTCTCCTCATGCAGGGCATTGAGACAGCACAGGCGTACACACCCTGTCATGTGTCACAACGTGTTAATACACTGAGGCCAGCAGTAATGAAGTAGTAAAGCAGCCAAAATGCAGAAGCTTTTGGTCTGAGGCATTAGGCAACCAACTTTATCAAGTCCCCGTTTTGTAAAGCTCTGGAATCGCAACCGCTCCGAGGAGGTGAGGGAGGAGGATGTGCCAGCAGTGTTAGCACAGCAGCACCACCAGTGCTACTGACCCAGACACAAAACACTCCCCTGGGGAGAGTTCTTCCAGTTGCCTCACACAGTCCTACTCCACGTACCGAACGCAAAAGGCGACGAAGCAGCAGCCGATCAGCGCCACCATGGAGGCCGAAATCACGGTGACCACGCTGCCCGCCACGCTGACCAGCAGCCCCAGGCCCACGCCCAGGATGATCTGGGCCAGCTGGACCATGCAGGTGAGGGCAGCGCAGTCAATGCCCTTCCCTCGCTCGTGGTCTCCAGATTGTTCCCAATCCTGCAGCTTCAGGCTCTGCGAATAAGCACAAAATGAAACCCCAGTGAAATGAGAGAGCCCTGACAACCTGCAGCTCTCAGTCAATGTGCTGACACCACCCCCAGGGGCAGCACGACAGGCCAAGAGCTTTCTGCTTCCTTCCTGGTTTTTTTTCTGCTTGTCCCACAGAGGTTACAGAACTCAAACACATATTGTACAAGTGATAATGAGTTTCCAAGTTACCCTCAAATTGTCCCATTTCTCTCATTTCATCATAGAGTTTTTTCCTCTATGCCATTTCTCAAGGAAAGAATTGAAACTCAATCAGAAAATTAAGCTGTTTCCTTGAAGTTCAAGCCTTTACGAGCTCTGGGAACCTGAGATTTCACAGTACAGGACACCTGATCATGCACAGTTTAGCTCAAACTCTCATGGATGAAGGAGAGCCTCAAAGCAACATTAAGATGAGTCTGTGTCCCACACATAATCATAATTCATATTTCATAATTCAGATCATAATTCATTATGATGGAGCACTAAGCTGTGACATTATATTTCAAAGCACATACAGGAGTTCAGTACTGAAATCTAAATTTAAAGCTTTTATTGCTGGGGAAAAAAGATAAATCTGGAAAGAAATATCCAGACTAGGATTTCTGCATTGCAGAAAACCATTATTAACTACTGATTACCTGCATATCTGCTATGGCATACAGAGCAAAAGGCTTCCTTTTTTATATACAAGCCTCTCACATATGAGCACCCTGTGAGGGTTGTTGATGACTGGAACAGGTTGACCTGAGAGGTTGTGGAGTCTCCATCCTTGGAAATACTCAAACCAGACTGGACATGACCCTGGGCAATCTGCGCCAGGTGGCCCTGCTTGAGTAGAGGGGTTGGACTACATGATCTCTAGACATCTCTTCTAACTTCAGCTGTTCTGTGACTCCTTCTAGGAAGGAACTGTTCTGTTTCGTTGGGAAATTGAGTGAGACTTTACATATTTATAGTTCTTCTTGCATTGGCTATTGAATGTAGAGGATTGTACTGTAACAAACAAAAGGTTTCCATGCTGTCAGCTAGCTGTGCTGCTGTCTTCTGGTATCCAGATGCTCTCAGCCATTAAGATATTTTTTGCTTTTCACAAGAGCTATGACATTGCCTTTGAGTTGTTACCTCACTAAGGTCAAAAGTACTGGAGACAGTCTCTTCCTAATCCAGCAGACAAAATTGAATTTGGGACCTAGGGAACAGCAGCATGGAACAGAAATTGACATGGCAACATTTTTGGTAGAATGCACAGTGAGGAAAAATGTCTGCTCTTTATTCTGAAATAATACAGCCCTTTTATCTGAAGTACTTCCAATTTTAGACACAATTTTTTTTTAAACTGTATCTAATTTTTGGGATGTGCCCAATGTTCCTGTGTGTCAGTAGTTCTCACCACAATTATATGAATGTGTAAATGAATGCAATCTTGCACTTTGTGTTTCCTTTTTGTTTTTTCCATCTTCTACAATATAGAAGATTTTATACAAACCTAATTTTGTTAATACCAGATCTAACATGGAATTATATAACATTGAACATTTGGCATACAAAGTACCATGCACCTAAGAAGAAACAATTGCTTGTCTTACAAGTAACATTTTAACCCATTAGCCTTTGAAAGTCCATGCACACTTCTGCCTATTTTATTTAATTTCTGTCTTCAAACAGCTCTAAATCAGAGCTAGACTAAACTTTAGCCTTTAATCCCTCTCTCTGAGCTGGCTGGCCTGAGGTTAGGATTGTGATCTCACCCTAAACTGTGTTCATTTCCTGTCCTTTTTATGTCTTTCTAAAACTTTTAATCATGATCATTCCCTGTTGGAAGGAAGAGATAAGTTAACAAAAAAAAAATAATGAAAATCAGATCTGTGAAATATTTAACATCATTGAAACATCCTCCTAGGATTCAAAAGAATAATTAAGAGAGCTTTTGTATTCATCCTTGAGATGGTGATGCTTAAAATTTGTACAGAACAGTAGAACATGTTCTCAAGGACATGATCTATCCCTGTGCTGATCTTCTGTGTTGATTTTCAACAGGTCAGCATTTCCTTTATTAGTTTCTTCAAATATCCCCAGATTTAACGAGAACTTTTCCTAAGTCCTCCCAGTTCTCCTTAATCCTTCTTGTTTCCAGCTCTCTCACTAACATAAGAGACTTGAGAGAACTTTTCCATTATAGAGCTCAACGTTTTACAAGACATGAAGATCCTGCTGTGCCCTGTAACACGATATAAGGAAAGAATGCTTTTTCAGATTTTCCTTGGAAACAGCATTTCATGCTGTGGATGACCAAAAGCCAACCCCAGACATTTAGAGAGACAATGAGTATGTGGTATATAATTTAATAGTTAACTCTATAAAACTACTTTAATTTTGTAACTTCATTAGCTAACAGTTTTTGTAACACTTTGCAGTTAACTGAAACTTCTGCCACTCTTTACAGTCTGGGTATTAGCTTTAGGAACTCATAAGTCAAGTCCTCAGCTACTGCAGCCAAAAGGAAGGATATAAAGAAGGCAGCACTTGAAGGGAACATGAAGTGGAGCCCAGTTACCTGCTTACTGCCTGAACACATACTGTGATTGGCTTTGCTTCCATTGTAATGAGAAATAATTGTCTCACTGCCGGGCTTTTTGGAGAGATTGGAGCTGGGACTGGGCTCTCGCTGTCAAAAACTTTCACTTGCAACATGTGTCCTCATAAACAGCTTGAAAAGCAAAATAAAAGCTGCTCACCAGTTCTATCTGGTTTTCTCCCAAAATAGACTAAACAGACCCAGACATATATAAACTTACCCTTCCTTAGGCATTGAACTCACCTCTTCTTCCCTGTGATACTGTGCAATGAGGTGGAATGGCACTGTGTAGAGCGTGCTGGACATGACACCAAAGAGGGAACACAGAGCCAGAGTGGAGTAGACATTGGGAAACAAGCCAATTAATCCAGTGCCCAGTCCAAAAAGTAGGTATCCAGTGAAATAAAGTCCCTTTAATCCTACATATGGCAGAATGATCTTCTGCAGGTCTGTGAAAAGAAAGTGAGAATGATGATAAGACTAAAATGAAACAGGTCCCATTTCACCAGGGAGCTCCATTCAGGGCTTTTATTTGGTAAAATGCAATGAAGGATATAATCTTACTGCTTTTGGAAGTTGCCCCAAATTATTGTACATATGAACTTGCCAAAGAATACTTGTTTTCTCTGGAGATAGTCTTATTCTGGCATAGCCAGAAAAGAAATAGTTAACAACCATTCTGGAAGAACTGCCCTCAGTGACAACCTCAGACATTTCCGTTGTTTGATTATAATTAGGACATTTGGCATCAACCTCTGTCTGAGCTGAGAAGGGGCTACAGAAATGCCTCTACTTCAGCTCCAAAGAAGTTTTCCCTAAGCCTCTTTTAGACTCCCAGTTCAGCCTTCAGTTCAGCCCTGCTCATTTGAGTCTTCAGATGGCACGTAGTTTCTTTAATTCTTGGTAAGAGCTACGGTGAAATCTGAGGAACTGTGTAGCATATTTACACGTAATTAAGGCGAGAAAGGTTCATGCTTTTGGCAAGAACTTCTACTGCATTTTGCAAGATTTATTTTAAGAGGAATGCAGATAGGGAGAGGGTATCAGAGGGACCTTCAAGAACATACAGCTACAGCACTGTTAGGTGAAAGAGCATCTCAGAATAATGCCCATGGCATCCATTTTAGTCTGGCTTTTAACTTCAGGATGATTATCAGTGTTCAGGGTCAGTTCACATGCAGAACAATGCCTTACTCTCAAAGTTACCCCTCATTATGTGGTCAGAAACTCTTCATGTTAAGATACAAGTTTCTAAAAATACTGAAAATGTAACATCTCTTAAAGTTTTAATACGGAAAAAAACCCAAACAGTTAATTTGGCATCATTTTATTTATTTTTTAAATGGCAAATAGTGAACAGTTTAAACACTGTTTCAAAATGCAGTATTGGAGTACCTTCCTGGGTACTTACAAGAATAGACTGATGAAGAAATTGCATTGATGCAGAGCCCCCAGCATCCCATCTCTACTCCTGTTCTGTAGGTAAGGTAAAGTGTGGAGTTACGAGGTGCATAAGGACTGCCCTGGTATACAACCTGAAAGAGATGACAGAGATCACAGAAGCCAAGGACAGACTGCATGTACATAAAGCTCCTTTTTATGGAAACAAGGCACCCTCATCCCTGGCAGGAGTGATACTTAGCACCCAAGAAATCTGTTAAGCAGTGCCCTGACCATCCCTTCAGAGTTCTCCTTGTTTCACACTCATTGCTCCCAGATTCTCACATCCCAAGCTCCTCCTTATTTATTACCCTCTGCCTTTTCCTAGCCACTATACATTGACTCATTTGCACTTTTTCTGTGTGGTGTTTGATTTCCCATTCTCCTTCCTTCTCTACTTCCGCCTTCTTGCTTTAGCCTTTCTT